TTCTTCCTGCTACTCACACACATCATCTTACTAAATTAGTCAACTTTGTACCCATTTTGCACATGAGAAAACTGAAATGGAATCATTATTTGGTTTGGTTTATATAACTCCCTTCCAAGGTCCATACAATAAAAACATTTTAAAGCAATGAATCTTTATAAAATAATTCTGAGGAGTCCTGACAGAGTTGATGATAAAGAAACAGTACATAAACTATGCATTTATATGTTCATATAATTATTTACTAGCTGCCTTTAACCGCATTTTAATTTTTTCCTTAGAAATAACATTTATTGCATATACAGTAATAGCTTATTACCTCAGACACTGGTTTTTATCTTAATATTTTCTTCTTATTTATTTCCAGTCTAATTTTATAAGTATAAAAAATTCTCACTTTGAATTGGAATTTTACAAAGCATGGAAATGTGGAATTAGGTTCTCCATAATAATCTTGTTACTATTATATTGGCTGATATGTATTGTTCCCAGTGCTTAAGGAGAAAAAAAGTTACTTCTTATTTAGCTTTTGGGTAACTGCCCAGAAATGGAATAAAGATGTGTAGAATGGAAATATTTTAAAATTTCCAATTCTACCTTCGAAATGAAACTTGTTACAACATGATGAATATTAACTCGAAATGTGAACATTATTTACATGTGTCCTTCTTGAAAGGTTAAATCAATAAACAGGTTTTGAATAATCCATTGGTAGAATTTTGAATTGTGCATAAGATACCTTGGCTGTTCTGAACAATTATTTCCAAGAAGCACCTCAAGGATGGCAGTGTTGCCGCAATTGGATCTCTACTCACTAAAGGCAAAGTCATGTTAGAGCACTTTTGGTGCCCAGCTGAAATGTTTATATTAATCTAGATACTAAATGAGCACCGAAGGCAAGTGCGCCTTCCAGGAAGGAGAGTTGCTCGACGTGGAAAACGAGCCCTCGCTGTGAGTGGCCGGCAGCAACGAGGCTGCCAGGTGTTTGACTGTTATATTTAATTTGTGGTATGCTAAGCATTTCTCCAGCTTTGCTAAGATGAGCACTGATTTTCTCTAAAAGAATACTGTTAATTGTATTCATTTATGACCATGTTGTATGCTGGTTCAAAAGCTCATAATTTTGTAAACATTCATCAGAATTTTCCTTCATGCATAAGCTGAGTTTTCTTTCTTAAAATTTTTTAATTTTTTAAAAAAAAATTAAAGAGTACAGAATGGTAAAAAATATTAGAAAGGGTACAAAATTTTATTAAACAAAGCAATAGGAATTTGATAATGATTATTATATTGTACAATATTATCTTCAAATTAGTTGTATCGGTTATCAGATATAAGCCTGCAACATTAGTTTAAAAAAGTTAGGAGAAGGGCCAACAAGACAGCTCAGCAGACTAAGCACCTGCTCAGGCAAGCACAGGGACCACGGTTTGATCCCTGGCACCACATGCAGCACCGGCCCCGCCCCTGGGCGCGCTGAGCTGGCGACCGAGTCCAGGCGTGGTGGCGCACACCTGTAATCCCAGCGCTGGGGAGGCTGAATTAGGAGGGTCACTATGTGTCTGAGCTGTGTAGTGAGACCCTGTACCAAATACATAAAAAGAAAAAAAAAGTTATGAGAAATTAAAAAGAACAAAAAAGTAAGCATTTAATAGCTTTTCCCAGAATAACTTATACACGGCATTCTACAGTGTACTGAAAACATGTCAATTCATACTCATCTCTATTTTATAATTAAAATGCTGTATTGTCATTATTATTACAATAAAACGATAAAGTCAACGCATGCAAGTGAAGATGCTATGTGAGTAGGAAGTCTAACTGGTCTCCTTTTTTCCTCTCAAGCTATCGGGAGGTATTTTGGATGCGTACAATGGCGAGCAGGACCTTTCACCAGTTAATACAGGGCTCACAAGGGCCTCCCGTCCAGTTAGTCTGCCGATGAAGAAAGAAATTGCAGGTAATGCTGCTGGTATAGTTTTACATTTTAAAAGTTTTAACAACTACCTAAGATATGATTGATAGGTATTACAGCAAATAGAATGTCTTAAAAAATATTACCCAAATAGAGGGAGAGTTTCAGAAAACAAAGCCATGCCTTTTTATGACAGCTATCTGGTGGGTTAATGTAACTTACAGTTTGACTGAACTGACTCATTGTTTTAAGAATGGTTTTCACAGACATACATAAATATAGCTTCACTTAGTATAAGTTCATTTTTTCTACCAAATATGTATTAATTTTTTTGCAGAATGATAATTAACTGGGGAATTTATTTATTTGGTTCAGGGGATCAAACTCAAGACCTTGCACTTGCCAGTCTGGCGATTATGCTGCTGAGCTGTATCAGGTCAAGAAAATTATTCTTTATAGTCCTAGATATAAAAAAAAGTTTATATTTTTCCTTCTAAAATTGTTCTATTTTTTAAAATTTATTTTTATATATATTTATTTATTTATTTTTGTCTGGTTTTCATTTATTACCCTTTTGTTTTAAACAAACATTTACTTGGGAGACAATATGGCAGTAATAGGTATGACCTGACAAGCAGTACATATTTAGAAGACCAGAACGGCAGGCATTCCAAGCCTGATCCTACCATTACACATTGCTATCTTCAGTGCAGCTGCTTAGGTCACAGGTATGAGCATATGTAGTTAGTCAGGGTGAGAATCGTACCATAAAATTGTTCTATTGATTTCATGGTAGACTTGGATTAAAATAAACTCAGTTTTCAATAATTCATTTCAAAATTATTACAAGTCAAAGGAATTATAGAGATTTTGTCAAGTTCTTCAGTGGGCTAAAGAATTATTTTGCCTAAGTCACGCAGCTGATTAGAGTCATAAGGATTAATGATCTCCTGATTCACTAGTCCAGTGTCAGATCTTTCATATGAATCAAATGAAATTCATTTGAAATTTTTATAACAAGCTTTTGGGTCATAGCTGAAAAACTATTCATTAATATTAAGATTGTAAGAAAATATAATTCATGCCATTCATGGAGCTTTATAACTAAAAGTATTTATGGGTTGAAAGTATGGTCTTTGGATTAAAGCTAATGACTTTAAATAGAATGTATTACTTCATTACCTATTTTTAAAAATATAAATTCTAGGAACTCTGTAGTAACTACTAACTACCTTTTATATGTAAACACAAGTTAACTCCAGAACATACTCACCTGAAAGAAACATTTACGAGCTCCTCCAGTCTCTGTCAGAAGCCCAGAGGGGTCTGAGCAAATTTGTTCTGATATTGAGTTTCTTACAGGGCTTTTGTCCAGGTGTCAGGCAGATGTGCACAGGACACCACCTCTCAGGGCTTGGGGGAACATGCTCCCAAGGTGACTCCTTCACAGTTGTTGCAGACTAGTGCTGCTTGTCGGCACGTGGTCTTGGTCCTTAACTGTGAGCACCTCTCCATAGCGTTGCTTGTGCATCCTCCAGATAAGAGACTTGTTGAATCAAGAGCTACCAAAGCAGAAGCTGAAAATATCTACTGTGACTTACCCTTAGAAGCCACGGCAGCCATTGCCACCATCATGTGTTCATTTCATAGGGCAGCCTCATTCATTGCTGGAGAGAACTACCACGGCTAAGAACACCAAGAAAGGAGAGCTCTCCGCCACCTTGACCGCTGATGAGTGTGAACTCAACTTAGTGTGAGGGCAGAGTCAGCAAGCGCGAGAGAGCGTGGAGCTATTTGCTAGGAATATCTATTAAGTGCAGTTAGTTCCAGCTCATGGGATGGAGAATTCATAATTATTTATGAAGATTTTAGGTCAGAATAATTTTGCTCTGGATCTCAAAAGTCTGAAAATAATAATGGCAATGACTGAATAATTTAATACTTTCTGTGTGTCATGCCTCTTTTATAATCATCACAGTGACAATCAGGTAGGTATTTTATATTCATGTTACAGATGAAAAGTCTGAGACAGAGAAATCTGGTGATTGATCATACTATTATATGAATAGTCAGAAAACAAATCCGGTCTAAAGGCTTTGCCATTGCCTTTTTCTGAGGAGTTTTCTGCTCTAAATTTCCAAATATTTGTATCAAAAATATTATCGTACCACTTCAGATCAAACCAGCTTGTATTTTCACCTAGTATTTCTGAATCATTTGGCCTGGAATTTTTTTAGAGTAGAACTAAGCATTGTTTTAATTATTTTTCTTATGATCAGAAACTGACACTAGAGCGTTGGCAAAAGAAAGACAAAAAAAGGACAATCACAATCTCAGTGAGTATATTTTTTGTTTTTCCAAATGAAACTAATACAACCGTGAATGCATAGAGATGAAATTTTATGTTTTTTTTTTATTATTATCACTCTATAAATACTTACCGACAACTAAAATTGCTCGTGTTCACAAACAAGCCATTTTGGGAACTGCAACCCTCATGGGAACTGTCAAAAACACAAAACCAGTTATCCATTTTCCACAAAGCGAAGCATCTCTCCTTGATCATTCGTTCTGGAGGAGGCTGTGTTTGACTGAGAAGAGTGCATTTGGTTACATTTGAACTGTATTGTGATTCATTGATTCAAAGATTTAAAGAGATAAAGTGACTTTAGAAATCATTTTAATAGTATGCCATTTTAACAGTCAGAAACCTAAGTCCAGGCTCTGGGCTTTCCTGTGTCAATTTGCTCCTCCCTTGCTAATGATGCTCTATCTGAAAGGCATCTCCCTGCTTGTAATGCTGAATTCCACCTCTGGGGAAAAAGGCTTTTCATGCTTTTCTCAGGGTCAATTTGACTCTGATAACAGGTCGCTTGAGAAGGGAAGTGTGAAGAAGCAGATTAGCAGCAGGGCTGGGCTTTGGAGTGCTTGGACCAGTCTTAAGTGTGTGACTCTCTCAAGAGAGCTTGGCTGATTGAGAATGAAGGGTCTTTGTTCAGAGAGCCAACTCGAAAACTGAGGGCCGAGTACAACAGAGGAAATATTAAATAAAGTGTTAACCTCCTGGATGAATCCGTAATTTCCTCTGCGCAATTAGCAGAAATTGATTCTGAAGATAGCTATGAACCCCGCATCCCTGCATAATCCACCTCCCAGAGTGATGAGTGCTGGCTGGCTGAGTGGCCCTGAGGAGAGAGGAGACACACACCTTTCCAGCAGGCCGCAGGGAAGTGATCTGACTTCCATAGACCTGAAGAGCAGAGTAGGGAACTTTGGTCCACATTTGGAACAAGAGAAATAGGACTGGGGAAAACTCATGATTACCAGAAAGAACTCATGTACCTTGAGGAATTTGGGAGTTCCTTTTTTGGAAATCTGTTCATTTTTACTTTCTTTCCCCTTCTCTCCGTTTGCAGCTTAGACAATGTCATTTATTGTAGAGTATTGCAGGTGTCTGGTATGTATTTGAACTGAAGTGTTTTGTAAACTGAATTCTCTTACTAAGGTATCCTCTTTTATTTATTTATTTTTTATTTATTTTTTATTTATTTATTTATTTATTTATTTTTTGCGGTTCCAGGGATTGAACTCAGGACCCTGCACTTACCAGGCAAGCACTTATTCTACCGAGCTCTCTCCCTAGCTCCTAGGTATCCCCTTTTTGAGGGAAAAATCAACTTGCAAAAGTATCAAGTGTTAAGTATAGTGAATTTATTTATTTACTTTTTCATGCATTTGGAACAGGGTTTCACTATGCAGCTCAGACTCATAGTGATCCTCCTATTTTCAGCCTCTCCACCTCTGGGATTACAGGCATGTGCCATCACATCCCGTCTCGGTGGCCGGAACAGCGCAACCAGGGGCAGAACCAGCGCTATATGTGGTGCTGGGGATTGAATCCTTGTCCCTGGGCTTGCCTAAGCAGGCACTTAGTCTGCTGAGCTATCTTGGGGACAAGTATAATGAATTTAGAACAACCTTTAAAAACATAAATCTTGTGAGTGCATGCAAAGGTACAAAGAAGGTCCCATTGACCAGATTGATAAATATGAAAGAGGTATAAATCAGACTAAAATGTACCAAGTGCAGTACGTTCCCTTCTTCCTAGAGACCTCAGAAAACCAGTAGTGAATGCAGAATCCTCAGGTTGCCTGGCTTCCAGATGGGAATGTCAGGGCCGGGTGATACCAGCCCTGTGTTTGTAGGTCACTTCTCTCTTCAAGGTGTGTTCCACTCTGTGCTGCAAGTGGCCTCAATGTGAGGCTTCGAAGTGAGTGGGAAGACCTCAGCCTGTCCACTTAGTCTCTGTCCACATTTCTGTATGTAGCTGCCCTTGGACCACTTCCCGACCCTGGATGAACACCTTGGCACAGGATTCGCCCTCTGGAGGCACGGCTTGCTTCCTTGAGGCGACGCTTGCCCTGGAGGAGGGCGACTGGTCTTAGAGGACGACTTTGGAGTGCATACTGCCTGAGCATGGCTGCAAAGGGATTTCCTAGACCCGTGGCCACCTCGCTCACAGGAAAGAGGTCTGGCCAGACGAGGGAAGATGTGTCTGTTAAAAGTTGGGAGTAGGGGGCCTCTTTCTCCTGCATTGGAGCACAAGACTGAATGGCAGTGTCTAAAACACTGTGAAAGGTGAAAGCACAAAGTTCAAAATAACTTAGTGATTTCTTAAAGGATGACTCTTTTCCACATAACTCGTGCTGGCTGTGAGCAACATTGATTGAATCAAAATTAGAATTAGCCAGGTGAAAATAGACGACAGTCTAAGTGGGCAGGGAGCCTCTGATATTCTCCATGCGGAAAACTTAAATACGCTTTGAAGAAACCATAGGGGTGAAATCAGTCACCCACTTTAAAACAGAACTGTGAACTTCACAGTTGTTTTCTAAGATTTCAGAGATGTCTTAGTAATATAAAAGAAAATGTATGTAAACATAGAATTATTGATGAATTTTCACTATAAAATACTTATGTGTGTCTATCAGATTTTTCTTTATTTCCTAGTATTTTTATGTGGTATCATTTAGCTTTTTATTAGTTAAATGTTAAATTAGTTAACAGGAAAAACATATTAGCTTGCCTGAAGTGACAAAATAAATTCTCTCAAGAATAAATTATTTTCTAATTTTATAGAGAGATCTCTGTGTATTATTCCAGAAGGTCAAATCCATTCATGGCAATATGCTTTGTGTACTTGGTTCACCAAGACAGCTTGTATTCTTTGATAACATTTCTGAGTTTCAGTAATAGACATTAATTTTCAAGTGTATACTATGCACACCTTTTAATATATATATATATTTATTTATGGTACAGGGTCTCAGACTCATAGTGATCCTCCTATCCCAGCCTCTGCAGTGCTGGGATTACAGGCATGCACCGCCACACTTGGTTTCAGCGGCCAGCATGACACTCAGGTTCGGCATGGCCTGTGGTACTGGGGGTTGGTACCTGGTGTGAGCTTGCTAGACAGGTGCTTAGACCACTGAACTGTTTCCTCAGCCCTTTAACATATATTTAAATTATTTTAAAACAATTATTCATTATATTTTTATATCCTTATCTCCTTGAATATTTTAAATATATTAATTACAGTAAAAATTATGTAAGTGTATTATGGTTCTTGATATTACAAATATAGACTACAGGATTGCTGTTAGAGTCAGTATAGGAAACTCATCAGATATCTGACAGGAAGTGAGTACTTACCACATACCGGAAATTGCTATGGTGACAAGTGCATGGGTGTACAACAAAAAGGCTCTGCTTAAGAACTTTTATCAGTAGTTTTCAAATCATGGATCTTATACATACAGAATCCACGTCACCTGGGAGTTTGTGATATTGTTAGATATCACTTCAGATATACTAAAACCAGAATTTCTAGAGGTGGGACACTAATCTATTTGGCAAGCCTTCTGTGTATGCCTGATACATACGAAGGTTTAGCTGCTGATCTATAGATTATTAGAAAGTTTAAATTAGAAAAATAAGCTGATAGTCTAATCAGCCCACATTTATTTAGCACCTCTTATGTAAGCCAAACTCTCTGGAGGTACAAAACTGAGTGAAAGGTGACACGTTGCCTCAAGGTGGCTGTGCATACTTGGGCACAACACCTGCAGTGTGCTAAACCCAAGGGGAGTACAGGGAAGAGTAAGACATGGGGCGTGAGCTTAAAAAGTGTAGTCCTCGTGGACTGACAAAGTCTGTGTGCATACAATGACAGACACAATAAGTGTATACATATGCGTGTGTATGTGCACATATATTTATGAGTGTGAGTGAATGCAGTAATATCAGAATGAAAAATGTTTGAGGCTGAGACAAAATATTCTTTTGGGTAGCAGTACTATGGTTGGGATCTAACATGTCCAGCATGGGCCAGTGAGATGGCTCAGCGGCCTAAAGCACCTACGCAGGTGCAAGCTTAGGCCAGCACAGGGACCGCAGTTCAATCCCTGGCACCACTTGCTGCGTCAGCCCCGCCACCAGAATGGACTGAGCCAGCCACAAAAATAAATAAATAAAATATCCAATAGGCTCAAGGTTTCAGAGATGTGGCATTTCAATCATGAAGTTTCTTATTTCATCATTTATAAATTCATAAACTTACAGAATTTTTATAAAGTGATGGAAATCTAAGAGATGAGGTTCAGCTGAAGAGAGTGAGTCATGGTAGCATGAATTTAGGGACTGCATTTTCTGTTTATTGTGCATCTGTCTGTCTGTCTCTCCCTCTTCCTCCCTCCTCCCCTGCCCTAGCATGAGATAAGCACCCTTCCCCAGCATGTGCCCTTTACAACGATGTCTGTACCTTGCCAAGGGCCAAAAAGCAAGAAAACTACGTAAGCATGGACTGGAACCCCTAAAACCTTAAGCCCAAATAAACCCTCCCTCCATGAAGTTGATTTTGTCAGGTATTTTGCTAGCATTGCCAAGCTGACTAGCACAAACATACTTTTGTTGTTATTTTATAATTAAGAAATTATTTTTTACTAAATGCAAATATTTTTGTGCACTGTTTTAAAAGACTGTTAAAAAAGTTTACAGCTGACAAAAACTGAGCTGAAATTTAATGAGAATAATCAATACTATTTTTTCTTTAATAGTTGAAAGAAGAAGAAGGTATAATATTAATTACCGAATCAAGGAGCTTGGCACCCTTATTCCAAAGTCTAATGATCCGTGAGTTCAAAATCATTTCTGTAATAATGTTATGGCTTCAATTCCCCAAAAATGGGTGGGAGGGAAGAGGGGAAGATGGAAACTAAGACTCGGAAACGAAGTGGCTCTAGACAAAGGTAAGGCTGTTGTTGACCTCAGTTGAGCTGTCTATCCCAGCGCAATATTAAGGAAGTATTGATACCACTCCCAGTGTTGCCTTTCCGAGTGCAAAAAATAAATGATCTCTCTTCAGTTCGTAGTGGGTTTATTTTATGGTAATGATACAGAAAAATTTAGCGATAGCTCCCAAAGCTATTTATAATGTTCACTACGATCCCTCGCTTGTAATTATGACATTTTCTACCACTTAAGAGGCTGTGAACTCGAAAACAGAACTGCCAAATTTTCCAAGGTCCTCCAATTCTGGAGAATTGCAAATACGTAATAAATCGATGCCAACCAGGTTAGTGTGGCAGATCCACAGAGTCAAATGCTTTGAACGCGTAGATCTCAAGCACTAGTTAATTGATCCAAGTGTCAATTTAGAATGTTAAATGCTTATTCCAAGACATCAAAACATGGTCTGTAGCATTATTAAGGATTTGAAAATGATCTCTCCAAATATTGGCAACTGTCCATTATCCAGAAATGACGATGTTTAATGAGAGTTGAGGACGCTTCTTTCCTAAATTCAGATGTTTTAATTAATGTAGGCAGTTAAGTAATCCATGATAGAGGTGCAGGCACCGAGCACAGAACGTTGGCAGAGTGCAGGGGACGGTCTGAAGAGCTCTGTCCTGACGTCCTCTTGATCACCGTTGAAGTCTCTGAAGTGTCTCAGCACAGGGCTTTTTATCAACATAATACACATGTTCCCTATAAAAATGGAGTTTTAGAAATGTAAAATCAGCATGTATATGAACATACAGATTATAAAGATTTAATGAAGGACCATATTACGGTACATTTTCATAGAACTGTTGATTCTCTAGTTTAAGTCATTGTCCAGTACAGGAATGACACACGCTTTATGTAAAGAGCCGGAGGGTGACCGTTTTGAGCGTCATGGCTCACACGGTCCTTGTTATGATTATTTAAGTCCACCTTTCTACCCCCAAAGCAGACACAGACAATATGTAATGAAGAAGAAGGACTGTATCGAGTGAAACTTTATTGACCAAAATAGACCGTGGGCTCCAGTTTGCCTATCCCAGGTCTAGCATATGGAAAGTCCGGGTACCGCAGCAACATATCTGAGTAAGCGTGATCAGAGAAACTTCACAGTACACACTCTTGTTCAGTTGTTCCTCTATGCAGATCCTAGAGTGGAGGGCTCTTATTTGTTTGAACTCTGTTGTGTTATATATAAGCAAATTGCATTTATTAGTGCTTCATTGGAAACATTAATTAGATGCTAAGTATATCTGTATGTATGTCTTATCATTTTGCATAACACAGGTAGAGAAAATTACTGGAGTGTGAATTCCAGATGTCTAAGTACTAATTGCATTTTGATATATTTCATTTCTTCACAGTGTGGTATTACTTGCCACTCCAGTGTCAGTCAGGTTCACCAGGAGAAAACCATGGTTGAGCCTAGAATTAGCATCTTAAAACAGACTTTACAGGGCTGGCCAGATAGCTCAGCAGATTAAGGTGCACATTTAGGCGGATTCGGGGCCCCAGGGGTTCGATCCTCAGACCTGCCATGCTGGCCCCGGTCCAGGGTGTGCTGAGACGGGGATTGAGGCTGGGCATGGTGGTGCATGGCTGTAATCTCAGCACTTGGGAGGCTGTAAGCAGGAGGAATTACTATGAGTCTGATCTAGGTAGTGAGACCCTGTGGACTCTGTCCTAATACATAAAAACAAAACAAAAGAAAAAGCAGACTTTACTAAGAAGTAATGTCTGGTTGTACTGATCTCAAATTTAAATATCTATTGTATAGCTTTATTTTGCATTCATTTGTCAAATTTTTAGATGCTACCATGGGTAATCTAAAGGTTTCGGAAAACAACACTAGGAAAAGTGTATAGAGATAATACAGAAAAGGCCGGAAGCAGTTTGAAGGTGGGAAAAGGGAAAAATAGCATCATTATATTATTCAGTGGTGAAACTAATAAAAAGTAGATCTGAAAATTTAAAAAAGATCAAGATTTCAGTTGGACTTTCAAGAAATTTTAGATTCATAGATTGAGTGCCTTTTATGACCATTAAAATGACTGAGAAAGGGTCTTTAAAAACTAATAAAATACGCATCAGCATATAAAATCATCTGCTATGAAGTTTTTCAAATTGTGCGCCCTTAATGACTCCTGAACCCAACCAAATGGAGCAGAGTCAGCGTTTTTAGACAACAGCGGACAGCACTGACAAACATCAGAGCACTGCGTATTGCGTACGGAGAACATGAGTACCTCTGAAGACTTTGTTGCAGTTTTAGGGGTTAAGAACGCACAGAATTACAGAATAAAGCACGCTGCTTATGAGACATGCATGTGGACAGGGAAGAAAGTGATAGATGAGCGGACAGCGCTGAACTGAGCACGCACCCTCAGCGTCCCTTCTCAGCACCTCGTGCTCTAGGGCGCACTCCGCTTTGGATGCTCTCACTCAGGACCTTTCCGGTTCACGGCTGGACAGACGCTGGGGTAGGAAACCAAAGCTAGCAGCTGAATACACTGAATTCACTGAAGTTGACGTGTTTAATTTTCAAAAACATTCAGAAATCCCGTGCTGGTCCCACCCCCGAGGGGCGGTGCACTGAGAGGCAATTGAGACTGGGCGTGGTGGCGCACGCCTGCAATCCCAGCTCTTGGGAGGCTGAAAGCAGGTGGATCAGTGCAAGTCCAATCTGTGTAGTGAGACCTTGTAGATACTCTATTAAATACATTTAAAATAAAAACATTCAGAAATTATACATCTTTATAGGTCAGTACAGGGGACTTAGAGGGGAAAATAAAGAGAAAGGTCAGGTAGAGCTAGGTGTATTTTAGACATTTTTTTTTTTTTTTTTTTTTAGTTAAAAAAGTAATGTGTTTGAATGGATGTATATGGTAAAAATGACAATAAATTATACACTTTGCATAATTTTCCCTGTGGCCACTTCTACTGCAATTTACACATTGCTATTAACTGCTTTGGGCCTAAATTTACTTACGCTTGTAACTGGCCCCTCCTTCAAAGACAATTATTTTGCAGAGCATGAAGGGCCAGTATCCACATTCTTTCCTTAGTTGTAGCCTTGTGAGTTTTCAGTGTTATAATAATAATAATAATATGTGTGTGTGTGTGTGTGTGTGTGTGTGTGTGTGTGTGTATTTTGGTACAGGTTCTCACTAGCAGTGCAGACTCATAGTGATCCTCCTGTTTTCAGCCTCCCTAGCCCTAGGATTACAGGCTTGTGCCACCACGCCCATTTTCAGTGGCTAGCTCAGCACACCCGGGGTGGGACCAGCACTGCATGTGATGTCAGGGATCAGACTCTGGTCCCTGCTCTTGCCTAAGCAGGCTCTTATTCTGCTGAGCTATCTCACTGGCCCTAGAGTAGCATAATATTATTGTTTAATATTGTTAATGCTAAGTTCCTTGAGATTATCTTGGGATAGAGGGAAAATGTGATTAATATATGAAAAAAATGAAACTTTCAAGAAGATAATCTCATATTTTCAGATGGTTTTGAAATATAGTGAACTTGTGAAAATTTAGTGCAAATGACATCAGGAAAGAAGACAGATATTATGTGCCTTCTGTAGCTATTGTGAAGGTCCATTTTATTGTATTAATAATTTTATTGAGAAACAAATAGCAATGAGACAGTTCCAAAACCAATTAGTAGGATAGTTTCAATAACTAATATATTGCATATTGTTGTCTTCTTAGTGGTTATTCATAGTACAAGATGCAGACATGATATCCTGTCCAAACACTATTAGTACAAATCTTTTGTCTCATTGAATTAAGAGAAAGTAGTTGTATATTTATCCTATTTTGAATATACAGATACAAAATGGTCCTTCATTTATATCCCCTTTTCTTGTTTAGTTTTGTCAGAGATAAGTATTCCATTGCCATTTAAATATTGTAGGTGCATGAATTCAGCAAAATAATCCAATATAGTTCAGTAGCCCATAATAGTAGTCGGTTTTCTGTAGGACAGGCAATGTCAGAAGTTGTTTAAATGAGCCTTTTGCAGCTCAGCATATTAATATGGCTTTACTTTTTACACTTCGTTTTCATACTTTCCTACTGGATGGTTAAGACCACAATAAAGCAAGACCTATATAATAAGAAATGTAACTTTTGTGTCTGACAAGGTCAGTCAAATCCCCTCAGGATTTAGCCTGAAATCCTGCACCACAGTTTGTAGATCCTCTGTCAGTGTCAGCCATGTGGATGAGTCATGGCCATTGCTTGACCAATTTGTTCTCTGTGAAAGCCTGAGAGAATGTTTTCTCTCCATGTGACTCTCCTTAGGCACACTTTATATCATTGATCACTTTCTCTGTGTTCCGATAAATGAAGGACCATTTTAGATCTAAGTAAATAATACTGTAAACTTCTAAGCTGGCTTTCTTGGCTCAGTGATGAAAGTAGCCTATCTTTCAGACCCATCACAACCTGAGACATGTCCTTTGAGCAGAATGACCCCAATAGCCCTCTGGCATCTAGAAAACTGATAAAACATTTTTGAACTTTAAAAAAATATGGCAACAATGATATTGTACATTTAATTATTTTATTATTTTTATTTTTTTTGTATTTTAGGGAAGGGTCTACAGGGTGTTTAGGGTCTCACTACTAGATTGGACTCATAGTGATTCTCCTGTTTAGAGCTTCCCAAGTGCTGGGATTACAGGCACACTCCACCATGCCCAGTCTCAATTGCCATCTCAGCTGCCCTGAGGGCAGGGCTGGCATGGCAGGCCTCGGGATCAAATGCTTGGCCCCTGAGCCGCTTGCAGGTGCTTTAATCTGCTGAGCTATTTGGCTGGCCCTATATAGTACATTTTAATAGAAGATGACTTTCCTAGAATCTAATAAACCTTGTTCCTGGGACATAGGCAAATGAGCATTCTTTTAATTTGGTACTGCTATTGACATTGTTAGCAGGTCTTAATTTCCAGTGAGACATTCAAATCGGATATTTCATAAGTTGTGTTTTTCTATTTGCAACTCTTAATAAATGCTTTGAAGTACAATATATTTCCTATAGGTCACAAAAGTATATATATATATATATATATATGCATGCAATTTTACATAGATCAATATAAACCAAAATTATACATTGGAAAAATATATAATCCCCCAAATATTTCTTCTCTACTGTTTTAAACACATTTCTTGACTTTAATTTGAAATTTCCACGGGGTTATATAACTCCTCTTACTGATGTTTAGTTATTAGTTTGGCCTCCCTTTCGCCATAGATTGTCAATTCGCATACAGCAATACATTCCTTCATGTGTATTTTCAGATATTAGATTCAGTAGACTGTTCCATGATTCCATCTGTAGAATTTCTTCTGTTTTAGATGGTGTAGTAAAATATTTTTCTGTACTGTAGCCTAAAGATTACCCAGTTATGTTTTAATTGCAGTCACCTATCTTAAATTTATTTTACATAGGTATCCATATCCAACTTTGAAAAAAAAAGTTTTGTTGCTGTTTATGTAGAAGAATTGGTCAAGTTGTTTTAGAAAGGTTATTTTGTTGCCTAAAGTGACGCTACCAAACTCTGCTGTTTGACAATCAGGGTCACCATTCAGGAGAGAATTTATTATTTTTTTTTCTTAGAAACAAAAGCAACTTTATTAGGTAGTAGGTTAAAGGATTGATACATGTGAAATAATATTTAAAAATTTAGGTTTAAGTCATCAGCAATGTACATTTCCTAGTTCATTAATGCAGAAATACAGCACATAGATTTTAATCTCTGAGTTAATAATAAAAGCAATTTTCACTAAAAATATAAAAACTGTAATGGTAGAATCATGATATTGCATTTAGCTGTCCCACAAAAAGTCACTTCATTACTTTCTTTTGACACTTATTTTCATTCTGGGATTAATTTTACTATATAAGGGCTTCTTAACTATTCTATTAAAATTTCTATTCAGAAGCAATAATATCTAAGAGTGAATAATAGTCATGTAAATCATTATTTCATATTAATGTAAAAGATTTGGTACGTTCTTATGAATTCTGCTGACGTGCACAATTGTGAAGAGGTTATCTCTCTGTTCTCCAGTGATACCCGCTGGAACAAAGGAACCATTCTGAAAGCATCCGTAGAGTACATCAAGTGGCTACAAAAGGAGCAACAGCAAGCCCGAGTGTTAGAACACAGGCAGAAGGCGTTGGAGCAAGCTAACAGGCGCCTTCTGCTCCGCATTCAGGTTTTTATGAGAGTGTTGCTGTGACTGGGTGGCTGACAGATGCCTTACTTGATACTAGTTTTATTCATTGATATTTTTTCCCCTTACTAATGATGGATTTGTTTTACTGAAAAATTATTATTATATTGTTTTTTAAAAGTTCACTAGTTGTTTGTTTCCATTAGATTTGGATTAGAATTTCAGGATGGGGATGACTGGAAATGTACGTGTCATGAATTACAAGGGCTAATTGCAAAGTACAAAAGATAGAGCCTGTTTCATAAATCCGCATGACACTATCTTGACTCACCCCCCAACATGAAGTAGAATATTTGTTTCTCTAGATAATATTGGACACTAAATTCTCCATTCTGTCTTCGCTCTTTCATTTGTTTAGTAATACTGCTATGGGTTTTATTGCTGAAGACATATTGTACCAGTTTATATAAAGTCACTTCACATCTGTTCAAATGACACAAGATATGAAATAGGCTTTTATTACCCTCTTTTTTAAATGTGAGCTTGATCACAGCCAGGTAAAGCATTTGCTCTATTTCCATGAAACAGTCCAGAATTATGGTGGGAATTATCAGGAAGAATAAATAGAAGATTTTCCACTATTTCAAAATGGCTATAGTGTAGTCTGAGCCATTACAGGACTGTAATGTGTCATGAATTCCTTTACAGAACAATAAGAAGAGAATCTTAAAACTCTGGGTAATTTTCTCGGTGTTACTCTGAGCCCCAGATTCCATTATCTGCAAAGGAAACTTATAATTTGTACTACTCTTCACTTTGAATGCTGATACTATTTTGGTTCTCCTTCTGGTCTATTTTCTCACGTCATGTCCACTCTCAGAGGCCTTATTTAATGGCTGTTGTTTGAAATTGCAGGAACTGGAGACACAGGCTCGTGCCCATGGTCTGCCATCCCTGGCTTCCCTCGGTACGGCTGATTTAGGCACTCACCTCTCCACACAGCAGACCCCTGAGCGGAATTCCGTGGACTATTGCCGACAAGTGACTCCGTCTCAGGAGCCAGGGTCCAAGCTCTCTGCGCAAGCTATGGCCTTCTCTGATCCTCTGTCGCACTTCACCGATTTATCATTTAGTGCTGCTCTGAAGGAGGAGCAGAGGCTGGATGGCATGCTGCTGAATGACACAGTATCTCCGTTTGGGACAGACCCACTGCTGTCTGCTGCTTCCCCAGCAGTCTCTAAATCCAGCAGTAGAAGAGGTAGCTTCAGCTCAGAGGATGGCGATGAACTATAAGATGGAAGCAAGAGGCTCAGCTCCTCTGCCAGGAAGCAACGCTGTGCTGGTGCTACTCAGCTACATCCTGCCTATTATGTATTGCTTTGTTCTTCTTACAAGACCATGTTGTGCACAAAAAGCTCGTGAGAAGCAAGAGGAACTGGCACAAAGAAGAAAATGGTATTGAAGAAGTATTGGTGACTGAGTTTCATGTTTTCCTCCTTTTCTTCAGAGTTCATGTCTACGTTTTGTTTTTCTGGAAAGAGGTGCAGCATGGGACATCTCTGTTTGGTGTTCATGGCAAAGCCGTGCCGTGACTCAGGAGCGGAGCAGCCTGGAAGGACGAGGCGACTGAACTGCACTGTGCTTCTCTTCGTCATTCCTGTCTGTATTCTTTATTTGCCTCCTACCACAGGAGGTTCTCGAGAGCCACGATCAACAGATACGATGGTCATCATCTTTTTCCAGTGTCTGGTGGACATATCCAAATTTTAAGCCTTATACAGGAAATAATTAGAAAATGGACTTTTTTTGTAATTAAAACATGAATTTATCACAAACACAGGATTTTTTTTTTACAATAGAACATAGAAAATTTATGAAAACATTGTTTAGTAAAATTGGATTCTAATTCCTTTAATTGGAGTAGCTGTACTGATTCTAAAAGCATCCTTGAATATTTGTCTCGACATATTCTATTAAGAATAATAAGCAAGGATAATTTCTTTCAGAGCATGGTCTACATTTATCATTTGACAGAAACTATACCCAGGCATAAGTGTACAGTGTGGCCATATTTATTCTTCTATTATTTTTCATTCTTAAGATTATCTAATCAGTATCAGAAGTTACATTCTACCAGGTAATAACTTTTAGTAAATAAAATATAAAATGTTCCCATGCTAGGAAAATTTGTAATGTATTTTAACATTTATTGTCTTAGCCAATATTTGATACAGACTAGTTGCTCATACAGTTCTGTTTTAAATTGACAAAATGTTGAAAATTGGGTAGACAACTGACAACAATAATAAAACAGAAACTGTCTTCTTCAGCTGAGTGGAGGACAAAGTGCTAAGATTCTTAGACCTGCAGTAGGACTGTGAAATATTGAACAGATAGAAAGATAAGGGTTTACTTCTTAGCAGAGGTGTGCTTAACAGGGCTATGTGGGAAACAGCAGAAGAGGTAGGAAATATAGAGAACTGTAGTGTAAGCGTAAACTAACTTGGAGTAAGTACAGCGGATATGGAAATGAATGACGAGGCAGAAAGTGGAAGGCAGCCTGTCTTATGAAGGCTTAAGGTGGGTAAAGGGGCAGTCGTACAGGAGAATAATACCAGCATATGATCAAAATGATGAATTAGGGAGGCATCTTCATGAGACACTCACGAGAAAGATTCTAGAAGAGTTCTGGAAAATACATGGGCAACAAGTTCTAGTCATCCTTGACACTTAGGATGACCCATTGTAGAAAGGAAATATTTCATTTACTAGATATTCAAGAATTTAATTATGTTACTAACTTGGCAGATTTGTAACCTCTCAAAATTATTAAACTTTGGGATGATTTTTTAAAAGACGGTCTTAAGTTTTTCTCACATAGAAAACGTCACATAACGTAACAACAACAACAAAAAAACCATGTTACAAAATCTGAGATTTGAATGCTGATAGAAGTGGAGAAATACTAAATCCTATGGTAGAATATTTAGTTTATCTGGTTTGCTAAAATATGGGAGAACTAAAATAATCTAATTTTTGACAGAAAAAAAATAACTTCTAAAATACTCTCAAGCAGATAGACACATTCATATGAAATGTTCTATCTGGAGAAAAACAATTAGGTATAATTCTCAGTAAGTTTCAGGAGGACATTGTAGATTTTAGATTTTTATTTTTTAATTTAGTACAAGGTTTTCGGGGTCTCATGTGTAGATCAGACTCGCAGTGATTCTCCTGTTTTCAGCCTCCCACGCACTGGGAGTTACAGGTGTAGGCCACCACACCCAGTCTTACTGTAGACTTTAAACAACATGACAAAATTCCACTAAATTGATAATTTGATTCAACTTTGCAAATTATGGAGAAAAAAATGTTTTGGGGCCACAGAAAATGAACCTTTCTAGATAGAGGGTCTTTTCTGTTTTCATTTCAGTCCGTTATTGCTGTTGATGCCATTATGCTAACGTGACCTTTAATTCTACCCAAGGCTGTCAATACAGACCTGCCATAGGACAGTAGTGCCTGGACATTAGAAATGTGAAGAAAGAGATAATGCCCTCTGCTCTCCTCAGATTTTTAAATGCCAAGGAATTGTGAAATTGGTCATGAATTTATTTTTTCTGTATTTAGGGAAGGTTCTACAGGCTCTACAGGGTCTCACTATGTAGATTGGACTCTTGTGATCCTCCTGTTTTCAGCATCACAAACGCTGGGATTACAGGTGTGCGCCACCACGCCCAGTCTCAATCACCATCTCAGCACACCAGTGGGACGGGCCAGAATGGCACACCAGGGATCAAACCTGGATGCTGCACTGTCTAAATAGGTGCTTTAATCCTTTGAACTATCTGGCTGGTCCGTTAGTCCTGAATTTTTAAAGATAGAGTGCTTCTGCATTCCAGTCAACAGCAATATGTCAAAAATCAATCAGACAGTAGTTTTAACTAGTTGTGCTGTGGAACCTTTGAGAATCTACTGAACACTAAAGACTCTTTCCCTGAAAAGAAAAAGAAAGTGTAGAAGTGTATTTTATATGTATTTGTGTTCGGTAGTTTGCCTGCGTCTAAGAATGTAGTCACCTCCTGAGCGTCTCCTTAGATCCTAAGTGAAGAACTCCTCCATCAGGTCTGAAACTTTCATAAGTAATGAACTAACTTTGTATCTATTGGAAGATAGGTGTATATTTAATGTCATATATGATGAGAAGAAAGGAGCCTTATTTGTAGGAATGGCATTATCTGATCCTGCAGGTCTTGAGGTTGGATAGAAAAGAAAAAGCAAACACCAGATTATTGTATTTGTACTCCAGCACTTCCATCTGCCACATGTAAATTACTTACTAAGACATTGTTCAATGATAAAGGAGTCCACTTTATCTCTATTTTTTTTTTTTTTTTTATGAATTTAGGACAGGGTCCATAGGGTGTACAGGGTCTCACTACGTAGATAGGACTAGTGGTGATCCTCCTGTTTTCAGCCTCCCAAGTGCTGGGATTATAGGCGCATGACATCATGCCCAGTCACAATCGCTGTCTCAGCGAGCCCTGGGGGCATGGTGGCACAGCATGCCAGGAATAGAACCTGGGCGCTGCACTTTGCCTAAGCGGGCGCGGAACTATCTGGCCAGCCCTAAGGAGGGCATTTTAAACATCCACTCTTCAACCAATCTGTGTTACATAGTTTTGGGTCAGTCTTCTCTGCATCCTAATATTTTATACATTTGAAAATAATATTTTGGAATCATGCATGCAAATATATTTCAAAATAAAAATAGTGTGAATTCAAAGCTATTATTTGATTAAGAATCAACAGAGACCCTTAGGAAGACATGGAATTGAACACAAGGAATAATTCTGCAGAAGTGAAACATAACAATAAGAGACTCAAATAGTATGTCAACCAATTTTGTCACAAAACATCAGGTATCATGGGACTGTAATGCAACCTATGAACCCTTGTTCATAGGATTAATGCATAATTGTAATTAGTATACTTTTTTAATTTTAAAGAGAAAAAAACCAAGAGTTTCAAAACAGGTCACTAGGAGAGTTCCAATTATTACTACAATGGGTATTGTTAGCTACGTAGCAGCTACCGAGACTGTAAGATAAACACATGATACCTTGTTCAAACAGTGTAAGCACAAACCGTTACCTTCCAATGAACTAAGAGAAACTAGCTCTATAACTGTTTTAATTATCTTCGGTATAAATATATATATTTTTCTTTTTCCCTTTCTTCCTTTTGCCCTAGATAATGTTCCCTCTAATCTTT